TTTCAACGATACATTATTGTAACAAATGTTTTGCAATATCATACGCTCAATTCATTTCTTTTATTGTCATATATTTGAAAACAATTTTTATTTTTTTAATATCATTCTTTTTATTTTGTAATAGATCTTTTTTATATATAAACACCGATTTAATTACTAAAGTATTTATAGCGGACAAATGACAAGTGATTCAATTTTATGCACATACATTACAGATTTCCATGGTTAATGGGAGAACTTTTACCGCAGAAAGTAGCTTCGTCAATAATTGACGCGCAAAGACGAAATTATGAAAATATAAGTATACCCTCATATTGGCTGTTTATTTCTAAGATATTAAGGTATGTAAATCCCGCCAATAAAAATTTAATACATTTAAATGTATTTTCAAATATATAATAATAAGCCGCAAAACAATTTACTGCAAATAATATATTAATAATATTAAAAACTGTTGTTTTACAATTATTATTTTTCTGTGTATAATAGAAATACTTTTTATTTTATTGTATCTGTTTATTGTAAATACTTTTTAATTTTAGATTTTTACCTAATGCAGCAATGAAGTGCATGAAAGATTTCATCAATTATGGTGTCTATCCAGGGGATTAAAAAGTGATACATTAGAAATTCATAAATTGCCTGTAAAATTTTACGATGTAGTTTATTATTATATTAAAAAGCATAATTTTGTTTTCTTCACTTATGTTAAGTAATTACCAAATATATTAAATATAAAGAAATGTTTATTTACATTTAGATATATCCGAAGAATATATATACTTAATTGAGATATAATAAAAAAACAAATAAGTGAAGTTTAAATAATGATTAGATGACGCGTAATGATTGAATTTTTAAGTGCTGATGTAACGCCAACTGAAATTTATTGCCATTTAAAAGTTGTGTAATGTGTAAAGTGAAAAAACTGTTCACAAAACAATTTTAATTTTTTACAATAATTTTAATCAGTCACCGAGACTAGTTTTCCACTTCAAGATTCATCAAAAATCTAGTTTACATTGGCAAAAGTTATTGACTTAACGATTTACTGTACTTCTGTGAACAATCTTTTCACTACATATATATTTTGAAATTTTAATAACTACGAATGAAGCCAATATAAAATAACACAATTGAAAATGTTTTTTAAAAATCTATATTAATATAGACAAATACAATTTAATATGTCAACATTTTAACTCGAGTCATTTTCAGTACAATGAGAAAAGTGGAATAACCAGTAAAATATCAAGTGCGTTGTGAAAATCAATTGTAAAATGAAATATAGTCAAATTGTTATCTTGTCCAAAAATTAAAAACAATATAACAAAACAGAATTGTGATGCCAGAATAATGACGCATTTCACACGGCCCACACGGGAATCGAATGAAGGGATGCGCGCACAGGAAAAAAAGACATATATACACTGTACGCATCTCCTTGATTATATTTGCTTGATTTGCTAAATGTAAAATTTAATAGAATGTGGAACTTTGCTTTGTATAAGTTTATAACTTTCCATATAAAGCGACGTTCCAATTTTGCCCAGTTTTTATTTTATTGTGGTGTTTCCCCGTAAGAGAAACGGTACCTACTCATTGCGACCGCCGACCATGAGTACACTTTACCTTTACTAACACGACGCAAGGTGTCACATGGGTTTTAAACGTTTTTAATATTAAATGGTTTTTCTATGGTTGATAACACTGTGTTACAAAAAAAAAACACTTTTTTTCCTCTCTCCGAAGTGCAACCATACACGGAAAGAACAATTTTGTTAAAAGGTTTAAAAATTTTGCTAAAAACAGATCTGAAAATAATTTTTTGTTGAATTATCAAAATAATTTGTTGGAATGTTAAAACTGATAAACATTGCTATAAAACGTTTTGATATTCTAGCAATCATTTTGACTTTCGCACAAAATAATTTTATTATTGAACAAAAATTAATTTCAGATCTGGATTCAGCAAAATTGTTCTTTCCGTGTAATTTTTCTGAAAATTTCTTCTGAACAGAATACCGTTTGAAGAATTCGCCTAGCACGTCAGAATTTTGAGTAAATTAGAATGAAAATTGCTAAAAATGGCGTTTTTTATGGCCACATTTAACATTTTTTGCGGCAAAACGAAAATTGGTTTCCAAATGAACCCAACAGCATCTGAAAGTATCATTCAAGAACTTTCAAACGAACTTCGGTTCACGACTGTACGACATTTTTTTCATGTAGTTATGATTATTTAAATTTTAGACATTCTGTAACAAGAAAGATAAATATGTATTTATACATGGCGTGCGCGTATGTGTGTGCGCGTGTTTCACGAGAGAGTACATTTGCTATAAATACTTTATTATCAATTCAAAATGACGGAAGACTTCAAAACGCTTTTCAAGTAACTTTTATTCCTGTTTATGAGTCTGGTTTAAACAGCTTTGTTTAAATTCAGGTCTGTGTATAAATTTATTAAAATGACAAAGTCTAAAATTTGAACAGCAATAACTTTATAAAAAAAGCCGTATACGATCATGCACTAAATTTCGTTTGAAAGAACTTGAATTATGCTTTCAGATGTCATTGAGTTTATTTAGAAACAAGTTTTCTTTTAGCCGCAAAAAAATGTTAAAAGCAGTCAAAAACACTATTTTTGGTCCCTTTTATTCCAATTTTCTCAAAATTCCTGCTAGGCAAATTCTGTCAACGGCATCGTGTTCAGTGCAAAAAAATCTTCGAGAAACGTATTATCGCGCATTTCGGAGAGAAAGAAAGTGATTTTTTTGTCACACTGTAATTTATCCAGATAAAATGAAGCAAAATAGAAAATAAATAGAAAATTAATATTGAAATTTTATGCAAGAAATAATGATAATCACCCCGAAGGTATTATAGCTTCACCGCAGCCTCTCCTAAACTTTCTTTTTCTCCTCCTCCTCCCCTTAAGACGTTCAAATTATCATTATTATGCATAGAATTCCCTTGCCACTCTCCCGGAATGAATTGCAACTCGTTCTGAAGCTGTTCCTTACTGTATTTGCCGCGTTCTTCAAATAAAATGTAAACGTAATTAACATCGCGAAGTAACTTTGCCTCCCGCGCAGTCAATTTTACGCAAAACTTGCGACGATGGCGGCAGCGGCGACGATGCAACAACTTAATTTTTGATCGAACGAGTATAATTACGTGTTTGATCGAATTATCAGCATGTGAGGGCCGAATCTATATCTGCAAAAAAAAAAACAAATCAACGGTAATGTTTCAATGGCCCGTTTTCTTTTTTTTTCGAGTGAGTATTTATGCGATAGTGTGAAATATTATAATAAATCAAAAGTCCATTTATAAATTGTGTATTTGCTGTCATACTTGCGAAACTCGGTACTCAGATTTTTAATAAATTAAACTTTATTTAAATTCGTAGATTAAAAACACGTACAAATAATTTGTACAAGAAATATTTCAAATTTAATCATTGTTTATATCGTAATTATTTTTCAAAACAGAAAAGCATAAAACGTAATTAAAACTGCTTGCACTCCTTTTTTATAATAAATATCTAAGCTCATGACATTATATTTGGTCTTTTCCATTGCGTTTCTTCTTGGTATAAATTTTGTTGGTATAACATATAAAAACAATATTTATTTGTTATGAAACTTAACAAATGGAAGAGACGTTCTTGGATCAATGAAGAATTAAGATTCTACAAATTTTAATTAAAAATGTTTTATTGTGCGGAGCGTACATTATTTTCGTCGAATTAGCGCGAGTCCTAAGTCCTAATTATTATTCTACCGATCGATTATATAATTCGTTACACCTTGGAAAATCGGATAAGAAATATAATCGCTTGTGCTTATCACCGTGTATATTGTATGTATACGTATATATGTATATAAAAAATTTCTTCTCTCGTTTTTCTCACCGTCGTTTTGTGACTATAGAATGGGCTTTAAAAAAAAAAACGAAAATATTACAAATCGACTAGATACTAATAATGTTGCTTCCTCTTAAAGTAAACGCATTTCTCGCTCGATTAAATATATATATAGTATATATATACTATATGTATACGTATAATATATAGATATGCGCTCTCTCTCTCTCTCTCTTTCTCTCTCTCTATTCGTGTTTTTGTTTTTGTAGTAAAAATATTTTTTGGACTTCATCTTTGGACGATCTTCGTTAGTCTACAGTTTAAAAATAACTTCTCCCTTAACTATGCAATAAAGTTCGGACTTTGGATTTTCTGTCGTATGACTAATTGCACGGGCCTGCATAAAGAAAATGTCAGGATAGATAAAAATGACAAAAGGTTTCTCGAGTATCGAGAAAAATTTATGTACATTATTTCAGTATCACTATCATTATTGTTATTATTATATTATTATCATTATTGTTACAAAAAAAGAGACTAACATAATACGATCGTAAAAAAGTTAATTCATTACTTTACCTTAGATTATTTAATAAAACATTCAAAGAATTAGACAAAAAATGTGACTGTCCTTCTGTCATTTTTAATATCCGTGCATTTCCTTCGGATAAAGACAGATTTTTACAATTTCGTCACACGTATTATCCGGCAAAGGCTATTATAGAGATAATCTCGTACAATTGATATACGATCGAGTCCATTTCGCTTCGTTGATTCGGCATTAATGAACGTCGCTTAATTCGCTTGTCACTATACAAAAGTCGCAGGGCATTTTCGTTCGCTTTATAAAAATAAATCGTCTGCTAATTGCTAACTGGAGGACTTCGTTGCGTTGCATTCGGTAAGTTCTGTTTCACAAACTTTTTTTTCTCTCAGTACGTTTAATTCTATTTTCCTTCATGTACAAGTAAAACGTGAGAGAATGCGATTTAATTGAAAGCTTCAATGATCCTCCGTTATACCGGCGTTTCTAACACAGATAACGTTAGACGATGATTATGAGTTTATCGATAAATATTAATGCTTAACATAGCTAGTACCGAATAGATCTCGGCCGTACGATTAAAATGCGTTTTGATTCGACAGTGTTCGCCTCACCGTTTGATTAATTTCGTCAAGTGAAAATGAGACGTCGCCTCTCTCGACTCGTTCCCTTTCGTCATCCTTGTGCAATGCATATCGAGAAACGGAAATCTCGCGATCGTAAGCACGCATTTCATTTGATCTCATTAAGATCCTTATTTTGGATATATAAACGTGAGTTTTAATAAATCTCCTTATAATTTTGTTGAAACTTACCGTAATAATCGCGAATAACTTCATCATGCAATGTCGTCTTTAAATCTAATTCAAAAGACCGTGAGACAAACGAATTAGCTTTTTGTAGCTGCATTTCCTCCAATAAATATACATATAATCATGTAGAAAAGTAGTCGGATTCAGATGCAACTTAAATTTCGGCCCGATTTTCGTGTCTCAAATGACACAAAAAAAAAGGAAAGATACTGGAAGATGTAGAAAATACCAAGAGAAATAAATTTCTGCGTAAATTTATAACACATACAGTATTTTAATTATTTCGAACACTTATTAAAAGAATTTATCAACGCTCTAAAATCGTCCTAACTGTATAAAACTTTGCGTACACAGCTTTATCTCATTTTTTAGCGAAAAAAAAAAACAAAAGCTCGAGACAAAATAAAAAAATCTAAGATACAAATCAGACTCAACTTCGTCTCACGATTCGAAGGTTTAAAAAAAAACCGAAGATAAATCACGCCGCAAGTTTGCCTCTTTCGCCCATTATTGCCAGCAATAATTATCGATATTGCTATACATTTTGAATGCTCTCGGAAGAAAAATCGAATTCGTGAAACTTCGGCAGGTAGAAAAATTGTTCGTCATTACGACGGCGTTCTTCGCATGAATTCACGCGACGGGTTGCCTCGGGACGGAGGGATTCACCGGTGCCAGAGTCAAGGTCTCTTTCTTCTTCTTGTTCACGCGACGTCCCACGTGTAGGACGACGTCCCCAGCTTTGACGGACTTGAATTCGGCGATCGCCTCGGCGTGGGTCATACCGTGAAGAGGTTTCGAATTTATTGACAAAATTTCGTCCCCTGCAAATATGGCGAATTTCGTGAGATATATAATTCAATTGAAAACACAATAATAATAACAATAATAAAGATTATAATACAATAAAAAAATGTTGTATAACAATCTATAAAGTTTCACGGAAACATACAAATTTTTTAACAAATAATTTTAAAATACCCGAAGAAAAGAAGCAGAGAAGATTGTTGTTGTGAGAAAAGACAGACCTCATCTTTAATTTACTAAAATTGGAAAACTTCGAAAGAAGGGCTTAGAGACTTGTAATATATATAGAGGTTTATAAGATTAGCTCTTTTTCTCTCTCTCTCTTTTGTTGGATTATCCAACTTGGGTACAACTTTACCTTCCTTGACAGTGCCTAAATCAGCAGCTTGGCCATTGGGAAAAACAGTTTTCACATAGATTCCCATGGTCCCACGTGGACTGTCGGTACCGCCGACGATACTGAAGCCGAGTCCCTTGTGCCCGGGACCCTTGAGAAATCTGGCGGTCAGTATCGTAAAGGACGCGCCGCCCTTACTTGGTCTTGGCAAGGTACAAAAACGCGACTCCTCTCCTTCGGCAGCCTCGTCGATGTCTTCGAGCTCCGAATCCGTGTTCAGGCCTTCGTCCGCGTCTTGGGTACCCTGAAAGAACGCAGTTAAAAAATTTGTGTTTAATTAACACATCTTACATGTTCCAAACGGTCCACTCAAATTTTTGTGTTAATTTAACGCAACATGAATATGTTAGAAAGTAATACAAACATTATGTATAAAAATTAACACACAAAAAATGTAACACTTTAATACATTTTGGAAACAAATTGTGGAAACATTATTCTTCAGTAAAATTAACACCTATAACATGTAAAATTAATAAGTTTATTTATCTTTTATTCATTTATCTTAGAATTTACGGTATAAAACTATTTTATTTTTATGTTATTTATTCACTTTCTTATAAATTGTCTTATTTTGACACTGAGAAATATTGAATATCAATTTAATACAAAATATTTAAATAACATAATCACATTAAATGTTAATTTAACAAGCAAATATGTTAAAAATTCGACACAAAATTTTAACAAGGACGTGAGTGAACCATTTTTAACATAAATACAAAAACGTTTTTCACTGTGAAGGATCGGATTATACTCAAACCGCAAAATAATTTTTTAAATCTCTGGCAATGCCTTAATATTCAAGAAACATTTAATTTTGAATCATCTGAATTGAATTCTTCCGTTATTTACAATTTAGTACATATATCGCTACTCCATAAATTGTTCAAAATTAATTAAATCTTTATGACGACTCAAGTTCGATGCTCGCGAAGCTTCGGTAGAAATCCGAAATCCGTTTCTCTTTTTCTTTAAGTAAGAATCCACCCACCTGCCAAGTCTTCAGGTTCGCGCCCGAGGAGCTGGGGATATTCGCGACGCTTCTGCTGTTGACCCTCCTCGGGTGCCTCTTGCCGGAGCTTCTCTCGGTGCCCAAACTTGCCGGCGCGTCCTCCTTGCCGCCACCGCCGGGGCTCAACGCCGCCTCGCCCGAGTAATTGCTCACCTGTCCGCCGACCTTGAAGTCGATGGACCGCTTTCTGGGCGTCACTCTGGGTATGTGTATCTCCTCGAACGACGGCTCCGACTGGTTCCTGAGCTTCGCGTTCTGGAAGTGCACGTTCTCGTACGAGTGCTCCCTGGTCTCGGAGTTGCTCCTGGCCAGGTGTCGGCCGGCGTACGGGCTGCCCGAGGCTCCCTGCAGATCGTCGCGCTGCGCGCCGGCACGTTGGAAGCGCACGTTCTCGTAGGCGTGATCGGGCACGCTGGCCTCGCGGTTCTCCGAGTTGCTGCGCTGAAGAACGGGCCGGGTCCTCGACGGCGAGGATCGCGGGAACACCACGTTTTCATAGAGCACGTCCTTCCGCTCGTAACCGTCCTGAGAGTAGGCCGCGAAGCTGTTGCCGTTGCAGTGGGGCGAGTTCGGGACACTGCTCTCCGCCAGGGTCTCCAGGTTATCGTGGAAGGGATACGGTGGCAAGGACGTCGGCTCGCTCGAGTCGTAACGATTGTCCTCGAAGGGTTGACTGGAAGACGACGTGAGCGGACTCGGCACGTAGAAATTCGAGGCATTGTCCTTCTGCTGGGGAAAGACCTCCGTCACGCTGAGCGCCTTTCGTTTCCTGATGCCGGCGTTTATCTTGCTGAACTTGCTGCGGAGCACGTGCTGGATGTCGGCGATGCCCTTCGTCGTGCCTGCAAAAGCGTACGTTCGTTATAAAATATAATAATCAGCCTGCCAGAGGCGGAAGATATATTTATTGTTTAAGAAAAATCTAAACAAAGAGGAGCGTGAAGAGTCAGCGCGATAAACGGTGCGCATATTATAATTATAATCCAAAGTAGGTTAGAGATTGAAAATTAACTTAAAACAATATAAATATATTAAAAACGTTAATTTATTGTTTTAACGTTAAGCTAATTTTCAATCTCTAACTTTAATAAGTTTTTTAACTTTAATAACTTTAGTTAGAGATTGAACTTTGCTTTAATAAGCAAGGACTCCTATTAAACAAAAAACATAAGTAAAAGGGCGTGAAGAGCAAGCGTGGTAACATAATAAAATATAATCTTTAGAATGTTACAAGTTTTTATACAGACGTTTCGGCGTAATTTTAAGCCATCCTCAATGTTACAATGTTGTACAAGCAGTCAACTACAGTATAATTCCATGTGAAAAAAGATAGCCTACATGATCCAGATTCAAGCCGCGAAATGATTCTCTGCCGGTTCCAATACCGGATGGACAGGCTAATTAGGATCACAGTCGATCATCACAAAATAATTTATAATCGCAAACAAGATTAAACATAAGACGCCACATAATAAATTATAAAAATATGCAAAATTTTTAATTATGTCAAAAAGAGATGTAGAGTTAAATAAGAATTAAGACTGATCGATACGGAGTCTAGGTAGACTTAAAATCGCGGCTAACGGTTTGAATCTAGATCACATAGGCTTTTTTCACATGGAATGATACTGCGGTTGACTGCTTGTACAACATTATAACACTGAGGATGGCTAAAGTTATACCGAAACGTCTGTATAAAAGCTTGTATCATTCTAAAAATTATATTTTATTATGTAGCCTACTTTGGATTATAATTATTATATATAATTATTACCGTTTACCACGCTGACTCCTCACGCCTTTTTTTGCTTATATTTTTTGTTTAATAGGAGTCCTTGCTTATTAAAGCAAAATTCAATCTCTAACTAAAGTTAGAGATTGAATATTAACTCAACGTTAAAACAATAAATTAACGTTTTTAATATATTTATTATTTTAACTTTAAGTTAATTTTCAATATCTAATTTTAACAAGTTTTTTTTGGTTACTACATTTATTTTAAATAACGGACTTTAATGTGAGGTACATTATATATGTATATACAGGGTGTATATCGTACCCGTATATGTATAAATGCCCTTCTTATCTAAACTAATAGAGATAGACCTAATAAATATAATATCAAATTAAACGGATCTGACTAAACTTTATTGTAAGCACAGTGTACGTTCACTTAAAAATATTATCTATGTTAGAGAGCAAAAAGACATGATTAATTTTTGCACGGTAAGGTGACAATTTTAATATGATAAAAGTTGTAGCGTTCTTTTTAACGATTACGACGATGTATGATATAACAAATTATTTTACGAATTATGAGTTATTTTGGTTTAAAATTTTGCGGGCAGCTACTACTTTTTTTAATTTCGGCTCTGCGATGTGGCCAACTTCTGATTTTTGCGTTGACAATTGACGTGTAATGTTTTTATCTTGATCATAGTACTCTCGTTAGTGCGAGAGCCGGAAGTTGGCCACATCCCAGGGCCGAAATTGAAAAGGTAGTAGCTGCCCGCAAAATTTTAAACCAAAATAACTCTTATAATTCGTAAAATAATTTCGTTATATCATACATCATTGTATTCGTTAAAAAGAACGCTACAACTTTTATTCTATCTTAAAATTGCCATGTTACCTGCGTTGAAATCTCTTTTCCCTAATATTTAAAAATTCATATCTTCCAGAAAAATAAAGATATCGACTTCTTTCTGAGCTCATCTTAAAGATGAATTATGTGGCTATTTTTAAAAAAATCGTGATTTTATTTAAAAATAGCCAATTTAATATGGCCGATCAAAACGTTATTTTTAAAAATTTATTTTCCTATCTTAAAATTGCCATGTTACCTGCATTGAAGCCTCTTTTTCCCAATGTTTAAAAATTCAATATGGCCGATCAAAACATTTTTTAAATTTATTTTTTGTTCAAAAATTGTTAAAATTTGCTTAATTAAAATGTAAATTGGTTTAAATGTTATTAGAAGATGTATGGGGTTTTAATACGCAGCGCGCGTGTTATGTACTAGTCATATTAAAATTGTCATGTTACCATGCAAAAATTAATCATGTCTTTCCGCTCTCTAACAGATAATATTTCTAAGTGACCACTGTGCTTACACTAAAGTTTAGTCAGAGCTGTTTAATTTGATATTATATTTATGAGGTCTATTTCTATTAGTTTACAAGATAAAAAGGGATGGCCACTTATACGGGAACACCCTGTACATGTTAAAAAAATCAGATTTACTCGTCATTCAAAATTTCGCAAGGATGCTTTCGAGCCAATTGAAACTCACCTGGCAGCCTCAGGGAACTAGTTTGCAGCAGTTTCTTCGGCGAGCTGCCATCCTGAAGACTCTTCGCGGCCGGCGAGGCCTCTCTGCTGGCCGGCGTCGATCTCACCGTGTGTATAACGCCGTGACTCCCGCCACCCTGTATCAGCGCTTCCTGCGGCTCCGACGACTCCTGCACGGAGCATCTTCGCCGCAGCTTCCGCCAGCGCTGACTGATACTCTTGTTCCACAGGTTCAGGTCTGGAAAAAAAAAAGATAGTTTCAGAGTGCGTCGTTGATTCCCGCTCGAGAGACGTCGGGAGTATCGTTGTCGTCGAGAAAAATAAAAATAAAGAAAAGGAGGAAGAAAAACACAACGTTCCGCTTCCCGGCCGTCAGGCCTTAACGACCGGAAACACTTATCTCTTCCCTGAGCGAGGTGGCACGACATCTTTCTATTTACGCACAGATAACAAGTCCGAGACTGACGAAAAGGCGCGTCACGGCATGGATGAGTATAACGGTAACAACGATAGGACATTATCGAGAGCAAAACAATGCTATAAACGTGCGATGAGTCGTGCACGCACATGCTGATTGTATATACAATGTTCGAACGTGGTACTCTGCTGCTCCGAAATAGAACGACATCGACTACTCGTAACGAAATGATAACGCTATTGTATTTTCAGTCATCAACATTCCATAAAAATTCGGCTCTTTATAGCAATGCAGTTGCAAAAATGCGAGGGTTCCTTCATCATTTTATTAGCTTCGTGTTTTAAATATTCCACCGCAAGCGACAATCGTAGGAAATAAAAAAATGAGAAGATTTTTTTCAGGGAAAAAAGTAAAGGTATATTTTTTCTTCCTTTTTCCATTTCATTTCTTTCAAATGTTAATACGAGACAAAATCATGCGCATCGTCGAGAAATTTTGTTTTTTTTGACGTGTCATTCGTATCATAACAATAATTAAACAATAATTTAATAATAATTAAAAATTTTGACTTAAAAAATCATAAAATTTGCCTATAAAACAACCCTACGCCGTTATCGGGGCGAGAATAAATAAAGAATTTCGATTTAAATCATAAAATAAAATATAATAAATCTAGTAATACATAGTTATGCGCATAATACATTAAAACAATATGTTAAAAATTTAATACGCAAGATACAGACGTTTCGATCCGTGATGTGGAAGCCTCTTCAGTGTATGAAATAGTTAATAAGTTACCCCCTGTGACACCCCCCCCCTCTCTCTCGCATATAGTCAATCAGTGGTAGTCACTAAATCGAAGTGAGTGAAATCTGTGATTAAAACAATGTAAGAGTCCATCGATCGAAATGTCTATTGCGTATTAAATTTTCATTACATCGTTTTAGTGTATTGCGCATAACTATGTACTAATTAGATTCATTATATTTTATTTTATGATTTAAGACAAAATTATTTATTCTCGCCTCGATAACGGCGTATAAGCAAATTTTGTGATTTATTGATTTGCCATATTTATGTAGCAATTAAATTGATTTTTTAATTTATGAAGCAATAGTATAATTTTTAAGAATTTTAACAATAATTAAGAAAAATTTTAAATATTATTAATCCTATAGTATAATTAAAAAATGACTCCTGTACTAATAAAAGAATTGTAAAATATACTAATTCAACATTAATAATATTATCCTAGTAATTGAAAAATGACTCTTGTATTAATAAAAAAAAATTGTAAAATATCCTAATTTAATTAGTAAGCACAAAAAATTGATTATTAAAACCTTTTCGCTTTTGAAAAAAGGAATTCGACGGCAGAAAATAAGCAAACGCTGCTTCTTCCCTACCGCTACAGATGAGAAAATTTAATAAACGCCTATCGCGTCAACTCATGGACGCATAAAATCTTCGTGGAACTGTCAAGGAAGAAAGCAACTTAAAAGCATCTCTGTCACGCGGTGTACCCTCGTCACGCCAATTACGGCAACTCGGAACGTCAATTCCTCATTCCGTCGCGTTCACATTCCACCGATTCAATTACACCTCCCGGCCGCAAACCACCGTGTAATCCAATCCGTAATTACAATTCAATATAGTTTCCATGTCCTCCCCGCGGCGTCCACGTGGCCGGAAGATGACGAGCCGGAGCGCGAAGTGGCATCAGTTCCGTGGGGTCGGGCCGCACTTCCTCCTTCCGCTCCCTCGACGCACCCTCGATTGCGGCGGCGGCGGCGGCGGCGGCCTTGAAGGAAACCGGAGCATAACGCACGTCCGTCTCTCTCTCTCTCTCTCTCTCTCTTTCTCGCGCGCGCGCGCGCGAGCTCTCACGCGTACCGTCACGGTGTCATGAATTATTAAAGCAATGACGAACTTTCCAGCGGAGTCCTGGCGGTGGAGGGGGGTTCGCGAATTAACGGCGGCTATTAAAATCCAGCCGGCGACCTCTCCGACCGTCAACAATGACGCCTCGCCGCGCCGCGCCGGTGCGGCCGGTGCTCGTCGTTGCGAGCGACGCACTAGCTGATGCCGGCTGCCGGCTACCGTTCGCCGTTATCCCGGGGACGGGGTCACGGCGTCATCTTGTACAAAATGCACTTTCACTTCTCGTATCTCCGGATGCGCCCGATTTTATACGAGGTCTTTTTTTCACCGCGCCACGCCACGCCGCGCCCCGCCGACCGGACGTTGCGCTCGCCGATACACTCTCCTTCGGCCACCTTTACGTATACATGTATATTTACGTATACGTATAAATATATGTACAGAACCGTGCGAGACCGCTTAATTGGCCGCTTCGTTAGCGTATCAGCTCGCAAACGCGAGCGACGAGAGACTATGACATCGGCTTTGACGCCTCACTAAATTTTCGTATCGCCTTGCAAGATACTTCCATGATACTGGACATTGAAGTGACGAAACCCCTCCGAGCGAGGAACCCTTCGGAAGTTTCCACGAAGCAGTGCAGGATATCTTTCGAGAGTCCTACACATGGGTATCTCGTTCCAGCTACAGAAATTCCTGGAATACTTTACACGGTGTGGACATAGTTTAACCTGAGATGTCACTTGATCTTTGCTTAACCCTGAAATGCTCCAGAAGCGATGCAGCTGGAGGTAAAGTTCTCGGCATCGCTCAAAGTTCAGGAGATGAAAAAAAAAGGAGTAATTAATGTCCCGTCCGTTGAAATTGTTTTCAGTTTTTTAAGAAGGAAATGGATGTGAACATTTAAAAGTCTTCCTTTTGCACATCCTTGAAAGTTTCTCCTCGCGCGTCTTAACGTTTATATAATTCACACTGCCACTGTCACACCGCTCCAACTGTCTCTGTCTCACGGTATAATCCAATGCAGGATCGATAAGGCGGCCCCGGAAGGCAGTTGCGTTAATAAAGCTTCCTTGGGAGGAGGGTAATTAACATTTGCCGGCGTCCGCGGACGCTCCATGCAAATCAGTATCGATCACGCAGACTGTGGTGAATCGCGTCCCGCCCGCGTCGTAGACAATGTCGTCGGAAGTTTAAATCTCCCCCGGGACCTCGGCGGCAGTTCAGCGCTTTACAGGAGAAAATCCTGCGAGAAATGCTGGAATAATTTTCTCTCGTAAGAAAGGTTTTGAAGATTCCAATGTTTCTTCCATTCGGGATGAATGATTGCTTCTCCAGATTTAGAATTAATCTTGCGGGATTCTCAGTGCGAATTCAAAAAGAATAGCACCTTTACGCGGATGTGGAATTATTTTCCAGCCCTGCTTAAAAGATCCGATAATAATAGAAATAAATTTAAAGTTTACTGAAATTTTATAGTAAAGTTATCGTTTCTATCGGACTCGCATTTGAGCTATTATAGAGAAGTTATCTATTTCTATCGTTTCTTAATAGTATATCTTACTTAAACATTAAATACAAATTTGAACGTGTTTTTTCTATAAAATTATTATCGAGCTATCTAATCTAAACTGAAAATTATGATTTGTTGCATATTTTATTATATTTGTAAGAAATATTAAAATTATTTATATATAAAATACACAAAATCTCTAAAATTAAAATATTACATAATAAAATCATACATAAACTGAAAACATTGTACGATAATATCAATTTTGACTAAAATGGTCAAAGATAAATATTACTTTAAAATAACTTTTAAATTATATATTAAATAGAGTAAAAAAGATAACATCGGATATTTACGAACCAAAAACACGATAAGATTAGGTTTCTTCTTATCTAATTCTATCGGATCTTTTAAATAGGGAGCACCCCGCGGCACAATTTTCCACGATTATTTCTTTCTCTAACACTGCACTTCTTACAGAAGCATAGTGACTTTCTTCTCAAACTCGGAAAGCTCGTACTCGTCCGGCTGCAGTATCGTCATTCACAACTCCATCAAGCGCAGCGGTTCAGCATAGAAAAAAAAAACCGATGACGCATCTCGCGACTCGCGGAAAAATCGCGCCGATCGCGTTTCCCGATCGAGCGTATACGCCGCGGGATCAGTCAGGGTCATCGATCGTCCTTCGATCCTTCGTTGATGTTCGGCGACGCGTGACGGGGTCCTCGCGCGTGACTCCCGCGTTTCCTCGATCGTGTGACAGCCGGAGTCACCGTTTCGGAAATCGCGCGGGTCTACACCGCGCGCGCTCTCGGCGTGGACTGAAAGGCCCCTCGCGGGCTTCACGTTCACGTCGTTGTGTCGTGTGTAAGGCGTCACATGCGTGTGCGTGTACCGGCGTGCACACCACACGTGCACCGCGGCTCTCTTAGTACCTGTGCATACTTGGTGACGCCGAATGAAAGAGTGCTGCTTGTGTCTGAATTCAAATTAAAAATCTTTTTTACCGAAACGTTGAAATATTTTTTCAATTAAGCTATACGTAGATTTATGTGTATACTTTAAAATAAAGAAAAAGAGCGAATTATTAATTATAATATTTCTGTACTAAATGTTTACTTTATTAATTTTATCTGTAATTTTTAATTGATGTCCACGTAACGTCTATGATATATCTTTCTATATCTAAATATATTTTTCTATATCAGATAGCTAATAAAAATATTTTTAGAGCAATTACTCCAAAATATAAATATTGGAGCACGGAGATTTTACAGTCAATAAGAAAGTGATTTGATATTTTAAAAAATCGTCGCAAATTATGCTTAAAATCTTAACTAAAATAACAACGTATTATTTCTTATTAATTTGAAAAAATCAAATTTAAACTCGAAAACATTTCTTAAAAATGTTTTCATAAATCGCA